CGAGGGGGAATTTTGTTAATGAAGCAAAGGAGTTCTGTTTAGGAATTACCGAATCCTCCTCTCGCGGTTTTCTGTGCCTGATTAGCAACAATTGCTGAGACTAATTGATGGGGGGATGTATTTTCGACAGCATTGTTCATTGATCACAACATTATGACAAGAAGGACTGTGGGGGTCAGACCCGGAAAACCACATGGCCTACGTTCAATGTATTTTCTTAACTTCAGTTATCCAAAACACAAATTACATTACCGACACGCAAGAATACAGTCCATGTTCATAGTGAATTGCTCACTCAACCAACCACTCAATCATTATACAATTAAAAAAAAAAAAAAAAAAAAAAAAAAAAAGACCGGGTTGGAGCCTCGGCGGGCCAGTGAACGAACTAGGCGGGCCAGTGCCGCCCAGGCCCATTACTGGCTATGCGCCTGTTTCGAATATTTGAACGCCAAATAGCGAAGCAGTGCATCGCTGAGGTGTAAATTCTCATGCAACTTTGAACGGACAGTGACAAACCGTCAGTCCGCATCAGACCATGGTCGGACATCCTACTTTTGTTTTCTTGAAACACCTGACGGACATGGTCTGTCGAAGGTCTGACTTTTCGCTCGACGGATGGTCTGACTCGGTCGGACAAGTAAAGTTTATTGAAACAGCCCCCTGGAGCGAGGGCGAGGAGAGCTGATTCCAGCAGTGGCAGATGGGACAGCAGGCTCGAGACGCAGCAGGCAAACCAAGAGCGAGGCAAGTCGGTTGGTTGGCTAGTTGACCCCAACCGTTGGAAAAAATATCAAGCCGAACTGGCAGGAGATTTTCAGAAAAATTTAAATATTCATCAATAGTTAAAGGTGACATAGAATCAAAAACCGTTTTTACCTTGTCTATGTTGAATAACGGTAGTCTACCCGCATTCAAGAACATACGAAAAGTGCTAGACATTCTGAACATCTCCAAAAGAAATGCATGAGATGCGTGGCTGCTGTTCATTTTTAATCGGATTCCCACTACATTCAACCACAAACTGTTACTTTGCTCAGCCCATTTCACCTCTGACAGTTTTACAAACCTGGCACAATTTCAAGCCGGCTTCTTGCAGCGTTTGGTGCTACGTAGCGGAGCAGTTCCGACTTTGCGTCTACCTCAACGACCAGTACAAACTGTAAGTATCATGTTGTTGTTAGATTGTTTTTAAAACATTAAAAATTGAATATTTTCGTTTTGCTTGTCTAGCCCAGTGTTTCCCAAACTTTTTTCTCTCACGGCACACTGTTTACTATTAAAAAATCTCACGACACACCGCTATGATATTATAGCGTTCCGCTCGCGCTACCTACCCCGCATCACGACCAAGTGACAAGACAACCACTTGAGCTTTCCAACCAGGTTTCAGGCTTTCATGCAATCATAAAATAAATGACTCTACGCAGTCTTTCCAGTTCAGCCCCCACTTCTCCAGATACTCAGATGTCACTCGAAACACTTCCTCACCTGTAGTTTTCTCCGACAAAATTTGATAAGAAAGTAATTTCTTTAATTGTCTCCCCATAGACATATCTGACATTGGCCAGTAATTGTGCATGTCCACTGACATCGGTTGTTTCATCCACCTGCAGCGCAAATTTCCCACTCCCTTTTATTTTCTCCATTACAAGGTCCTCTATATCTGCCGACATTTCTCCTATTCGTCTGCCAATTGTATTGTTTGAGAGAGGAACCTTGGATATTTCATTGGCAGCATTTTGACCCAACATGGTCCCGACAATAGCTTTGCATACTGGCAGGATAAGAGATTCGGCGTCTTTGATTTTGCTACTAGTTCTGCGACCAGATAACTAGCTTCTAATGCTTTTTCTGACACTGTAGCGGTTTTCATCATGAAACTAGCTTGTTTGTTCGTCTGGCTTCTCAACTGCATTAAATATTCACGGTTTTTTTTTTTTTTTTTTTTTTTTGCAAGAGAAGGGTGTTTGGTTGAAAGGTGTCTTTAATTTATTTGGCACCATAGCTTCGTTTGCCAGCTTTTCGCCGCAAGCAAGACACAGTGGTATTGGGGTAGCGGGAACTCCGGTGAATGTAAACCCATAAGTCAGATGTTCCTCAGTATAAAGTCTGCTCACCACTTTGATTTTCTTTTTCTGGCCAGCACAGCAAGAGTGAGGTGGTTCAGGGTCTTAGTCGGACGGCCTTTTTGAGGTTTTGGTCAGGAATTGATCCATTTTCGTTGTTTCGTTTCAACTAGTGTACACTGCTGTTTTAGCTGAGTTTTACCGGGGAATGTTAATTTTTCGCGTTAGACGATGTGTGATTGGCCAATCGCGTGAAGGAATTGTACAGTGGAATACATGATGCGGAAATATCGAGGAGGAATTTTAAATAGGCATTGTAATAAACTGAATTGAATGAATTGATAATGACATGAATTGTTATTTTTATATCCTGTAAGTTCAGCCGTTTTATATTATTAGGCTTTCAGGAGAAAAAAAAAAAAAAAACAAGCGGCACACCTAGGGAGCTCTCACGGCACACAGTTTGGGAAACACTGGTCTAGCCAATGTAGTATGACGTGATTATCACTCAACAACAGCTTTGAAACGAGATCTAAAATAAATCCGTGATGATTGTTGTTGCCAAAGATCCCGCCATGCTCACATTAAGACGGTGGGAGGTCGGCATCTGCGCCTTTACTTTGTGAAGATGTTTCGCCTAGTGCGTCAACACCAAAACATGTGGATCTAGCACGTTTTTTAGGATTATTCGCCGTAGTCTGCAATTATTCAATGAATGCTTATTAATGAGATTCTCACGTGGAATTAAAATCCTTGTGCCTTGAAGTTTCAGTTTCACTTGCGTAAAGGTGAATTTCACCGCAAGTAACATGGAAAGCGATTATGACTTGCTTTGCTTTAGGCAGCAAAGCCAGCCAATCAGCGTCGAGTGCTTGCATTTCATAATGAGGTTGCCAGTTAAGCCGGAAAGGTCGCCAAATAGGTGCAAAACAATGCATTCAAAATCCCCCATCCTAACATAGCTTTTTGAGAGAGGTTTTTAGGAAGCTTCTGAGGCATTACGGACCGAACCAGAATTTTGTGGTGTGTGTGTTACTTCACTGAACAAGAATAAATACCCTGTTCAACCATTCTAGGTCACCTTTATTAAAAAAAAAAAAAAAAAAAAAAAAAAAAAAAAAAAAAGAACAAGCACGATTGCGATTGGCTTCTCGTCATGTGAAAGCATGTACAACTGAGTTGACTAACACATTAACCATCAAAACTGAGGTTACAGTTAGAACCTTGAGATCAAAATCTCTCAGTCGACACAACGGCATAAGTACGGAAATGACAACAATTAAGACGTTGAAATGCCATGCGGCTGACTTTTTTTTTTTTTTTTTTTTTTTGAAGAATGCGAAATTCCTACTTTAAAAGCTAAAAATTAGTGTGAGTTGGATGGATTAGCTAGCTCACCCTGACAGTTAAAATATCAACCCTTTTCAGCAGCAATTTTTTGCGTGCCGGCGGATTTTTCCAGCGTACCGGCCCAGTACGTTGATATGGCCTGGCTAGAATCATGGATCAGTACTAAATATTTCCTGGATTTCAAAGTTTTCAGTGAGTATTGTTCAAATTGTGTATTCTCTGTAATAGTATCATTGAAATTCATCAATTTCTGTTGACTGAATTTCAAAGAAAAGAACAGAGTCCCTGATAAACGGGTGTCCTCGTTGGCATACCAGCCAATCAGCTTCTGGGGAGGGCATGCAGACTTTCGGGAGGCACTGGCCCTCCTGTGATTCGTCAGTTTCAACGTGATCGCACCGATTACACCCAATTAGTTTGCAGTATTGAACTCTTTACTGTCAATTTGAATGGCTTAATATCTACGACCAATAAAAATTAATTTGGGTTGCCGTTGCCATGGATATCCCTGCAATTGCGACGTTCAAATGTGTAGCTCTAGCCTATTGAAATTTTTTTAAGGGCATATATTTATGCCGTTATCCTTGTCCTCCGAAGTGGCTGGCAACCTGAGGATTTCATCTGCCACAGCACACAATTCACTCACATAAGGAGTGCAGTGGGTGCTAATTTCAGTCTGCGGTGCCCTGCCATGTTTGGGTGCTGGAAATCTGGTGTGCTGTGGAAGGGAAAAGCTGGTTTAATGATCCATCACCTCTTTTGCTGCCGAGTCTCACCGTGCTGCCCTGGTGGCTTTCTGGAACACTGGCGCAATGTCATGTGGGGGAAGGGAGGCTTCATATCTGTAGGGCTTCTCCGTATCCCTGCACCAAACACTGGAGCTCTCCACAGCGCATCCTCAGTTCATTCCACAATCCCTTTTCATCCTCTTTCATGCAGTAGCAGAAATGCTTCAGGAGGGGTCTGTTAAGCTCTCCATGTAGGGTGACTAGAGATGATGATATGGGGGGGTGTTACTGGTGCGTTTATGTTTGGTTGACTGCTCCTTGGTTTGCAGCACAAGCTCATTTTATTGTCAACATCAGTCAATGGCTGTTTTTAAATTGAACTCTGCCTCAAGGTAATCCGTTTGCTGCCAGTGTATGATATGCAGCGATTACGATCAGGCATGTCTGTGAAGACAAGGACCAATAAAAACGAATTGCAATATTTCATATTTTTTCACTTGTGGTGTCATTTTGCAACTCCTCTACTGCGATTGGTCACTAAATTTGTTCCTTTCGGGGAATGTTATGGAGTAGAATGATCTGATTATTCTTTAGGGGTGTCTAGTTGGCAGAATCCAGTCATGGATGTGTTTTTATCAAAGGGAAAAAAAAAATGTGCGTGAATTGAAAACAGGAGAAACCAAGAAATGTTAAATTAATATGGGCCCTCTGGATTTCCTTTATATTTGTCCTCTGAAATCCATTGAAAATGGAAAAAAAATTAGGTCCGCTGATTGGTTGATGCAGAATCCAGTCATGGATGTGTTTTTACCTGTCTTTGGCAGAAACTCAAACCTGAGCTACAGTCACATACTGGTTCTTGGCACAGTGGATAGCACTACTGTCTTGCAATAAGGAGGTTCCGGGTTCGAGCCACGGCTGGCCAGGGCCTCTCTGTGTGGTGTTTGCATGTTCTCCCCGTGTTTGTGTGGGTTTCCTCCGGGTACTCTGGTTTCCCCCACCCAGAAAAAACATGGTTATGGAAATGTTCTCACCAGTGCACCTGAACAAGGAACTGACTTTAGAACTGGATTTGGTCCCCAGGCGCTGCTCTGTGGCTGCCCACTGCTCCTAACTATTGGATGAGTCAAATACAGAGGACAGTTTACCCCATGGGGTTCAGTAAATCATCTCTTATCTCATCTTGGGGTGCTATACCAAAAAAAATGTGAGGAGGGAACCCGGTTTTTGTCAAACAAACAGACCAATAAATAAATGAATTTTTAAATAATCAACACTGACAGTTGGTTAAATTTGTAAGATGCAATATGCCTTCAAGCTGGAAGTCCCCTTCATTGACTGCTGTGAAGCTAATGGTATGGCTAAAGGTATGTACTTGTGGCTGTGGGACCATGGAGGAAGAGACGAAGGGCCTGACTGTGTTTTTGTTCGTCTTTGGCAGACCTGATCCACTGCACTAATGAGATGAACGTGAGCATTCCCCAGCTGGCGGACACGCTGTTTGAGAGAACTGCCAACAACAGCTGGGTGGTGGTCTTCAAGGCCCTCATCACTACCCATCACCTCATGATGTACGGCAATGAGGTAAGAGCACTTGCAAGTAATTGCTAATGTAGCTTCTGCTTTTGTCATTAAACAAAAAACAAAGCGGAAGGGTTTAACCCATTTAAGGCGTTGCCGCGTTGAAATGATGATTTGCCTGCTCAAATGGCTTGGGTTAACTTTTCTCTACAGCATTTTGGCAGACTGAGCTAGCTTGCTTTAATTCAAACAAGCTAACTAGAGGGTAACATTTCTCAATTCAGTTCAGTTAAATTGCTTTTCAGAGAAGGACTGTGACAGACTCTTTACAGAGAAGAAAAGGGCAGTGCCTGGCCTGATCCCTAAAGCTAGTATCTCACTGAGAGGCGAATGCTTACGAATGTAGCGAATTGGCCAACTTTTCTGATGAAAGTTGGCAAAAATCAGGATAGACCTAGGTGTCATTAGCGACATTTAGCAACGTTTAGCGTCAGTTAGCAACATTTGTGTAACTGTTTGCGAAAGAATAGGAAATTGCTTTTGTAGAATATGAAAATGAACTCTTTGCGACCCTAAAAACCTTTTCAAGCTCTTTTGCAATCTTGATGAAACCTTGATGGTATCTTCATGAAACCCAATACAGAGATGATTCTAGGACGCGTAATTTGCGGGATCCCGCAAGTTTGAAAGACTTGGCGCTAAACGAAGATTTCAGGGCGCCAGTAACTGCGCATTACATTATGATTTGGCGCGAATCCTTTGTTCTAGTGCATAGATTGATATGAAAACATCGTCTTTAACAAACTTCCGTGCATTTATTCAACAAATTTATAAACCTACTGCAAAAATTGCTGTCAAAATGTCGGCAGCAAGAGACTTCTATATATGCCTGTATATGACTGTGGCTGGATGCATGTTTCTGTAACCCCCTGTCACGCTCGAGTGCTGCTTTCCAGTCGGTAAAACCACACAAGGTAAAAACAGCATCCCTCTCACAGGCAGGAGCATATTTCCTGCAGGGAAAGCAAAAGCATGCATCCCGCTGAACTGAGTACTCCAGCCACGGTCGTGTACGATACCAGGCTGGATTGAATGATCACCATAAAGCACCGAATGCACGCTCTGGGTAGTTAGCTAATATTGGCTGGGATGGAGCATCGCCATTCAAGTTGGTAACCGCGTGAGGTAGGGCTGAGGCAGCAGAGAGGGGAACTGGTTTGGGGCAATGCTTGTGGAGGGTACTAGCTTCTGGTGTGCAAGCTACGGCATCGCCAGAGATGCCAAGTCTCACGCATTCGGTGTAGGTCTCACGCATTTTTTTTTTTTTTTTTTTTGGCTTATTCAACGTAGTCCACAATTATTCAATGGACGCTTAATAATGAGATTCTCATGCGGAATTAAAATCCTTGTGCATTGAAGTTTCAGTTTCACTTGCGTAAAGGTGGACCTCACCACAATTAACATGGAAAGCGACTCCGGACTTCTCGTGCTTCTCTTTACTCGGGGATTGGAAACAATGCATGTGTTTCATGATCGTTTAAATTGTTTAAAGGAAATAAGACTATTTGAAACGTCTTTATGCATTCCATTGCTTTCAATCCCTCAGTAAAGACAAGCGTGAGAATTCCCGAGTCATAATCGATTTCCGTGTCACTGGAGGGGAAATCCACCGTAATGCACGTGAAACTGATTAACTTAATTCACAATGACTTTAATTCCGCGAGTGAATTTCTCCAGCGTGCGTTGATTGAATAATTGCTGACTACGGCACGTGAATGCCACTAAGAGGCGAGATGCCGAATGCTTGAGACTCTCTGCATCGCTTGATGTTGAAGCAGCACAATGCTTGCTAATAGGTTTTAAAAAACGATGCCATACATGCCAACTCTACCGCTTTTGGCGGTAGACTACCGCTCTCTGGGTGTTTACAGCGGCGGCGTTAGACCTGGGCTAATATCCCTCCCTTTATTAACAATTAGTCCTGGCTAGTTCTGGATTGTTTTCCTTTGTTAACACTTTTCCATTTCAAGAATAATCAAGTGGCAATTGAAGACACGCGATAAGGATCCTGCAGCTATCGCAGGGTTTGGAGGGCTTATTGCGCAACTTCGGCGAGATTCTCGCGTAATTTTTCGGGAGTCTTGCGCAGCCAGCTTGCTTGCAGACACGCTCGAACGCACCCTAGGACTTCGGTTTGGAGGCGGGCTTTAAGCTATGCACCAAATCAGGCGTTGGTGTCATGGTTTGGTCCCGCCGGATGCACCCAGCAACCCGGCGGGCACTGGGACCATGTACCCAAAGACAGAGAGGGACCCACTCGCACAGGCTGGTACAAAAATAACAAAACATTTAATGAAAATACTTTTAAAAAGACACAAAGCCACAGGGGAGCAGCAGCAAACACGGATGGGGCTAAAAACCAGAATGCAGCTGCACTGCCAAATTGGCAGTGCAGCTCATATATACTCTTCACTTCACCTCCACTTCAACGAGCAACAGGTGTGGCTCGTTGAAGTGGAGGCGAAGACAGCAGAAGGAGGAGGGACTGCAGGGCAGAACCATCACAGTTAGGAACTATTATTTTATGCGCTATTTTGTCATTGACTTTATAATTGTTATGATTTGCAGAGACTGTGAAGGTTTTCTATTAAAACTTTAAACTCAAACTGTCATTCATGTCTTAGTTTTGTCAATAAGGTGTAAAAACTGAATGTATGTACATATAAATAAGTGAGCCAGTCAAGGTACGGTTTAAAAACTTGATATAAATGGCATTTTACCAGGGGTACCCAGTTGGCCCACTTTTTTTCCCATTGGCCCACTTTTTTTTAAGTCGGGGGGGGGGAGTTGGCCCACTTTTGAAATTTTCTAGAATCATTGCTGCAATATTCGTCTGCATTCGTCAGCATTCGTAACTCTGTTGTATAGTGGTCACTACTTTGAGAACCGAAAAGAACTTTAGCGACACGTGTTAGAACCGTTTGCAAACACTTACAACTCTTTTACAAACGTCTGCAACTGTTTGTGAGAAAATAAATTCGCAAAGAAATTTTGAACATGCTCAAAATTTGTTTGCGACGAGAAAAACTGTTTGCGATCCTAAAAACTTATAGCGAACTGCTTTGCGCCCTTTTACGAACTCTGACGAAACTCAAAATTCGCTACATTCGCTAGCATTCGCTGTTCAGTGAGATAGTAGCTTAAAATGGCAGATGAGGTCAAACCTAATTCTAAATAAAAGATTTAAATGCTCCAAATGGTGTTTGTGTGGGTTTTTACCGGATACTCTGGTTATCTCCTACAGTCCATAGAAAAGCAAGCCAGGCTAATTGGAGAGTGGAGACTCTAAATAGACCTTGGTATAAGTGTGTTAGTGAATGTTATGTGGTCCCTAAGGTGTCATGATAAGAGCATGAAGATTGGCACAAAATGATTTTGAAGTTTTGAAAGTGTTATTAAGCATGGGGTCAGTCAATCAATTTCGAAGTGATTGGCAAACAGCTGTGTGGACTCTTGGCTAGCCCTTCATTTCATGTGCTGGTACAGTTGAAGAAAGTAAGCAATTCAGGCTGCAACCTATACCACATTCATATCTACACACCCGATTGCAATCCGGTGCTGCTGCGGATTGGAACTCCCGCTTAAACCCATTCATATCGATCTGAAAACACTGTATAAAAGTCATAAAATGTCCGCATCAAATCGGCGAGACCCATTCATATCGAAATCTCGCCATCCTATTAGTGATCATGGTATCGTTTTCCTAAACCGAAGCCTTGCCTTTACTCCGCCATAAATCAATTCACTTCAAACTTTAACCCGGTGCTGCTCTGGAGCTTCTGCAGTGCTGATACAGAGTGAACAGTCAATCTGAAAGGGGCTCTAGTTTGCAGTAAGAAAGCGTGAACATTTTTAGCTACTCTAGCTACTGATGATATAAAATTATATACATTACTTTGGGGGCGATGCACAAAGCTACTGTTAACCAGGGAGTTCGGGTAAAATACGCTTCAGAAATTTTACTGGCATTTTATTTTATGCAGGTGAGTTTTTGGACAAAAAAAAAAATCAGTATGTGCAGAATTATTCCAGCTTCACCTGGCAAGTGACCGCTACACGCAAATCACCAGCACTGACTAAACATTGTTGTACTGTTGTACTCTCCTTCATTTCACAAAATCATTGCTTAATGTTCGCGTTCACCCCTTTCGCTATACAACTCTATACAGCGCGCCAAAATATATCCCTTCTGGTTTTCGCAGAGGGAAACTTTCTAAGCCACTGTTATGAACATAAGATACTTTGGAATAAGTCTAGGCTAACACTTGCTTGAAAATTTCCTGACAGGATATGCTTTATTAATAGCTCGTGCATGCTTATGTCTATTGTCAACGGCATTGCCTAT